GTAGCAGAATCAAAACCACAGATTTAAACTAGGGATGACAATTTTACCCATAATCCATTTATCTGTAGGGACCCACATTAAATGAGACAGGAAAAATTTTCTTTAAACGAAACCGGATTATAAACGGCTAAAAATTTTAACCCGTGATGGGTCGCGGTACAGGACGAGTTTAGAGGTTTCTTACCCTATTTCCTGTTTACATGTCCTTTTTAATTATATTGTATTTTTAAGTTAAATATATTATGCATAATGTGATATAATATATACTTTTAAGTATAATAAATTACATAATACATATGAAAATTTAAAATTACCTTTTATTTTTAACTTGTTTTGTATTGTGTATTGTTTAATTAATTAATTAATTAATTATTAATTAATTGTCTTTGACTGCAAAAACAGCACGGCGTCCATCAACTTCTCGCGGTTGAGGTTGGATTGCAGTAGTGTTTGGACGGATTGTTGAAGGGCCTGATTCTGTTGTTGGAGGGAGGCAACTTTCTGCTGCAACTCGTACTTTTCCGTCATGGACTGTACCAGCTGCTGAGTCAGCAGATGAGCGACCTCTTGAGCGAGATTGAGCTCCGCTTCTAGGCCGGTGGCCGGCGAATGGGGGACTCCTTGCGGCGGATTAGCGTGGGGAGGTTGAAGCCATAAAAGCAACGGGGGAGGTTGGGTTTTTTTTTCACAATCTTTGCATCACTGGTGGTGCCAACCGAAATATGAGCTTCCACAGGTATTTTTTTCCAAATCAAAATATTGCTTTGTTCTCCTCTTATTATCCAACTGTCTTCTCAATCTTGTTGCGAGTTGTTGGCGTCCATCTGTGGCACCCCTAATTTCACTAATAACTTGAGAAGCACCTACAAAAAGTCAAAACGAACAATCTGATCTCAGACACTACATCGTGATTTATGTCTTATGAGGCAAGTTTGTTTGGACGCCCATAAATAAAGGTCATGAAAAGGTATAGAGACGAAAGGAAAAATCATAATGCAGGCTATGGACGCATAACAATAAATAAAGCAATCTAGCTTCATCCCTCCAATCTGTGGTAGCTATTCTCGATCATGTCAGTACATTTTTTGTGTTGACTCTTAAGAGAATTGGTAAATTGGCTACAAGAGCAGATTTATTCCTCCCCTTCTTTCTAATTGTCCATGCAATTCTGGTGTGGAGGCTTTACAAAATGATGAACACGTAATATCTAATCGGCAAACAGCTCAAAACATCCAGAAGGCAGCAAAGCAATTTTGCGGTAATTCCCGTTTATTTCACCGATTCAAGTTTAGAATTCAAGTTTTGCTACAGTAAAAAGCTCTTAAAAATAGTCACGTTTAATTTTTTTACTACAGTAAAAAACTCTCACATAAAATTACATCTCAAGTCGAATTAAAAATTCGAGTTTAGTTATTCACTTGAGCTTCGAAAACTCCACATGTGGACACACAATGCTCCAATCTCCAACTGCCTACCTCCACTATCTCAAGAAAGAATAAATAGTAGATCTTTTTTTTTCTTCTCCATGACCAATACCACCGTCAGACCAAAATTTGTCAAGCCAAAGCAAAGACACATTCAAAATCCAGTACAAAACCAACAGAGCCAAACAATCCATAAAAAAAAAGTGAAATGAAACCGGTGGCCACTTGATTCAACGAAAAGAACTAACACAACAAAATATAAGCATATCAAATTTCCTAAATCTTTAGCACATGTGCCACCAGACAAATAGCACAACGCTGCAGAGTAAAAAACATCATGTTGTCTAGAACTGGCACACTTACAGCATATACATCAACTTCGATTGCTCTAAGCAACAAGCACAACATATAGAATCATAAAAAGTCAAATAAGCAAGGATTCCAGGTGTGACTAAACATTGGAGCTCATTGCTCAAGCAAATTAATCCAAGAAATTATAAGCGATTGACAAAGAAATTTTATTTACTGGGGCATTAATCAAACACTTTAACGGCAGGAACAAAACAAATTTAACACAAAATTCTTCACTTCCCCAAAACTTCAACAACTCTCTAAATCCCTCCAACGAGCCAATCTAAATCCACCCAAATAACACATGAAACACGTACCTTTCTACATATCCAAAAGCTCTCAACAGCAACTTTATAATTCCGCCAGACTACAATGCTCCAAAACCAAAACCTAGAGCGATTCATGAAGTGCTTCACAACAATGTACTAATCTGAAACGCTAATGAAGCCAAAACTTGGAAAAAGATACAACAGTACGATCTTTAATCCTTAATAACTTATGAACAAATGAAATCAACATTAATGTAAATTACAGCCAGAAAAGTACAATAAACAAACCATACGACAAATGAAGCCACATATTAGAATGCTACTTCTCTACGCAGCAGTGATTCCAGGGCTTAGCTTGGTAGTGCTGTAGATTTTAAAAAATATATTTTTAACTGTGCTGAAAGAAGAAGCAGCTGTTACAAAAAGCAGCTGAGTGTTTAGTAAACTATAATTATAGTAACTGTGCTGATTCAAAAATCAGTGTAATAACGTTTGGTAAATTATAAAGTTGAATTACTGTATATAATTAAAAATTACGACTATATTATATTATACTATAATATATTATATATATATAATATAATATATATATATAATTACAATATAATGTATATTTATTATTTTATTTAATATAATAAAATAATAATATTAGAGTTATTAATATAATTATGATATTATTTGTTACAATATTACTATAATATAATATTATATTATAGTAATATTGTAACAAATAATATCATAATTATATAATATATTAATTATAATATATTTGTTTAATATAATAAAATAATAATATTAGAGTTATTAATATAATTATGATATTATTTGTTACAATATTACTATAATATAATATTATATTATAGTAATATTGTAACAAATAATATCATAATTATATAATATATTAATTATAATATATTTGTTTAATATAATAAAATAATAATATTAGAGTTATTAATATAATTATGATATTATTTGTTACAATATTACTATAATATAATATTATATTATAGTAATATTGTAACAAATAATATCATAATTATATAATATATTAATTATAATATATTTGTTTAATATAATAAAATAATAATATTAGAGTTATTAATATAATTATGATATTATTTGTTACAATATTACTATAATATAATATTATATTATATTATATTACGAGTCTGAATTTTAAATTTAGAATATTATAAATTTTAAATTTCATTAGGGGTATTATGGGTATTATGAAAATTTTATTAATTGTACTATGCTGATTCCCACACAATCTAAAAGCTAAAGTTGTCTTTAGGCTGCTTCTGATTTTAGCTGTAGATTCTTGAAAAATTCTTCAAAAAGCACTTTTAAGAACATTTATCAAACACTAAAAACAGCTTCTGCTACAAGTAGAAGCTGATTTTGGGATGAAAAAGCAATACCAAACTAAGCCCAGATAGTGAACAAACTAATATGACCGCACAATTGTCAGATTCTTAGTATGCCAGTTATACTATTTTTTTATGGGCGGTCATCAGTCATAACATATATGATTGTCGATCATAATATAATGACCGAACAATTGTCGCACTTTTAATGTGTCAGTCATAGTACATTGGTTAACAACTTTGTTTGCTTTTTTTTTTTTGTATTTAGTATTTTTTTTTACCAATATTTGTCATCTTAGAAGAAAAAAAGACTTTAGAGGAAGAGATGCTTTTAGAGAAAGATAAAGCAGATACTAAAAAGATCAGTTATTTAAAATTTGTGAGCTTCATTATATTGTCTGACTCAACCTTATGGTGGTCATATTATTATGACTGCACTATGATATCTTCACAAGAGCTTCCCTATCTTCAACAATATAACTTAAGGATAAGCTTTTTCTTGTGGCTGAATCCCAAGCACATTTCTCACCAAATTTATAAGACTAATATAAGTTGTGCTGGTGGGGACTAATATCTCTTTCATTTCACAACCCACGTATCTCGAAGCATGGTCTCAATGTCTATTGTACTTGATGATGACGTTCAATCCAGCAGTCCTTCCTAAATAATTTCAAAAACAATAACTGTTAGTCAACATGCAATTATTCATAGTAGGCATAGAGTCATTAGAAATGGCCAGTCATAACACTGTGTAATGGCCGGTCATAAGGCAGTCATAGTGTGTCAGTCATAACACTATGAGTCATTTCAGTCATAATATTATGACAGTCCGGTCACATCACTATGACTGCCTTATAGACAGTCATAATACTATGACCGGTCATTTTGACTTATACTGTTATAATTTGACTCATAGAAAATGACTCATACTGTTATGATTGATTAGTCATAGTATTATGATCAGACATATAACACTATGAGTCACAATACTATGACTCCTAAGGTCAACTATGTCTTTGACGCAATGGTCGTTGCAATCAGTTTACATATCCATTATAAATCATCTAAAATCTCAAATTGACGAAGGATAGTATCAATTCCTATCACATTAAGTTCAACCTAGTCATTTTTTCGAGTTCTATATACTAAGTCCCCATTCATTTCGTCGATTCGAGTTTAAAATTCGAGTTTTGCTACAGTAAAAAGCTCTCAGAAACAGTCACATCTAACTTTTTTGTTACAGTAAAAAGCTCTCACACAAAGTCACATCTCAACTCGAATTACAAACTCGAATCAGCGAAGTGAACGGGCCCTAAGTCTCCCGAAAAATAAATTTAAAAAGAAAGAAATAAAAGAAAAATAAAAAAAATTGTATACCAACCTTGATCTGGTGCACAACCAAAATATAAACGACGAGAAAATGATGGCGTAAGGAAGAGAGAGACTCAGTAAAGAGAAGTCAAACTTGAGAGAGAGAAAGAGAGTTGAAAATGTGATGGAGAGAGAGAAAATGAACAGAAAAGAGTTAAAAGTCTTTGAGGTGCTTTTTAAATGATAATTTGACGTAAGTGGCATAAAAGTCATGAAAAGATAGAGGGGAACTGTTCATAACTGTTTACCTTTTCGGCCAAAACGTCGCCGTTTTGGTCGGGAAAACGGGAGAACAGTGAGCGCTCCGCGCCCCTCAATCTTGGGTGTGCCGATAGTTTTCACAGTAAACCAATCCATGCCCGGTTGTCCATTGCGAGCAAGCGTTACCACTCCGCGCCCCTCAACCAACTCCGGTTGACCCACCTCGCAACACTTCTCCGGCGCCGCCCCACAAAAGCTGTGAAAATCGCCCTCCCCCAGCCCCCCAAATTAGGGTTTTTGAGCTACAAAAGCCATAGAGTAAAGCAGTGACAATGGCGGATTCGATTTGCCGAGCACTGCGAGACGGCGCGTTAGAGGGAGAACACGCGCCCGCTCTCACAATTAAGGACAACATCGCTTCGCCCTTTGGGTTCGACGTGTTCTCTCACGTTCTCTCTCAGCTCTCCTCCAACATTTTGGCGGGAAAATCACAGTCACGGTCGATCCACTTTTCTAAATTCCAAACTTTGATATTTTTAAGTCTTCTTCGATTTTTCAGCTGTTAATATGTTCTTCCTTCTTTTTTCTTTCAATTGCAGAGGTCTCGTACTTGTTGCGTTTCGTCGAAGTCCGTCGTTTTATGTGGACTTCTTGAAGAGAAAAGGCGTAGATATTTCTTCGTCTCATAAATGGTAACGAGATTCTTCTGTGCATTTACATTTTTTTCCACTGTTCTGTTGATTAGAAAATTAAGAGGGAAAACAATATGGAATGTAATTTCTGCTTTGTTACGTGTATTATTTCGATCTTGGAAATTTGAGATTGAAAATGTACTTTTCAATTAATAACTTATTATTTTATTATTTATGTTTTTTGAAAAAAAAACTGAAATTGGCACATCTTTGTAATGAAACCGTACAGGATTCAGATTTTGGATTGTTACTCAGATCCTCTCGGTTGGAAAGATGGTTTTTCTCTTGAAACTTCCAATGTAGCTAGTTCTTGTAAGAATGTGAAGGATGTGCATAAGTTGTTATCGACGATAATCGAACTTGGTCAAGGTAATTCTCTACCGTTATTATGGTTGATATACAGCTGATTGTTTTTCCCTTAAAAATTGAGTATTTGGAGGTACTAGTAATCGTTTTCAATGTTTTTTTTTTCCTTATAATTGTAGGATTGGTTGGGCAAGGAAAAGTTCGTTTTTCTGCCGCAATAGACTCGGTAATTTGCGGCATGTTATTGTGATTGTATTTATTTTTTGTATTGAAGGGCTTCATGTACGTTTGGGGTCAGGCAAAGAAAAAGAAAATACTTTTTGGGGTTGGGAGGAAGGTTTGAGTTAGCCCTATGCAACAAGTGTTTTTCTTTGGTAATTGTTGGAGTGTTAATCTTCTATCTGAAATTGGATAGTACAATATGTTTCTTTCTCATTTAGTCTGCTTCATTGTGATGTGTGGAAATTTCCTGACGAGTTTAAAGGCATATACCAGAATTTAACTGTGAGTTATCTGCCACTTCCTACAAAGGGCTAATGATGTACGAAAATATCTTAGGAATGGGTTCATTTTCTCCCAAGAAAAAGCTTATGTGAGCTCATGTTTTGTTCCTTAATGGAAATTTATTTAATAGGCCACATTCTTTTATTGGAACCATGTGCTAGAATTTCTCATTAATTGATTATAAGTTTAAGAAAGAACCTAGACTCGCTAATGGTTAGGATTAATCAGATATTGATATATAATAGAATAGGTCACAGAGTACGGTATGGCATTTAGATTACAGAATACAGTATGACATTTTCGGATTGGAGTCAGCATGTGTAGTGACAAGCATCAATGGTTAGCAATGCAAGGTAACTAAGATCAGTTGTGGATGCCTTGCTTCTGATTCATATTCATCACCTGCCTTTCCCAAGGAATTAAAATATGATTATTTTCTCAATTATGGGTAGTCAGTATTCTTGAAATGTGGTGTCATGAATGCAAAATTCAATCTCAATAGATGGTGTTTCATAGGTTAGTTCATATTTCAAACTTTGATGAAACTGTAACATTGGCAGCATCTCATCAATAAAACACTATCCTATTCCTATGTATCAGGATGTTTGAATGCTTCAGATGGAAAATATTTTAATTTGAAACTTGAGGAAGAAAAAGAAAAGAAGGGTTTTATCTTTACTAACCTATAATATCTACCTGATATTCACTAATCAGGATTGTCACTTCAAAATTGCCAATACCTCAAAATTTTGTGTAGCAGTAATTTTGAATTGATTAGACTCTTTCTGCTTTAAGTATTTAAGTTCTATTATTCGTTTCCATTTAATTGTTGCATGCTTATATAGCTTTAAAAGTTTCGGTGAGTAAAAAAAATCATGTGTGTGCGTGTATATATATATATATATATATATCAGCTGGAGTCCTGGACTAGATACTACTATGTTAAACATTAATTTTGCAAAATGTTTTTGTTTGTATCTCCATGTGTGTGCGTATAATATTTATGCTGGTTTCTCCCTTTATGGCCAGTTGTTATTTATTTATTAATTGTTCATCTTGCCACCTTTTTGTAAATTGTTTTCATACAACTTCCAGGTAAGTGAAATGGTAAGACATGCGTCGGTGTCATCAGTTTCAGGCCTATTGAGCAACCTTCGTAGCCATGGTATATACCAGTTTTACTTTACTCTTGATTCATGTTCCAACTGCAGTGATGTCAAATATTTTCTTCACAATTTTTTATGTTGTCTTAGGGAAAATTGCATTGACACCCCTGGCAGTTCTTAATTAATCACTGAAACTTCCTGACTGAACTTAAATATAATTACAATGTGATTAAATCTTACACACACGCATCACACACACACATATGTATATATATAGACACGCACACACAGAGACATACACAACTGAAATGATGAAAATGTCCTAATAAAGTAGAAGATGGAAAGATATAGAGTAGAATTCAACCCGTGCATATGTTATTGGCACTATAGCCTGATCTACAACCCTTGCTGACATTTCAGGTGATGTATTATGACATTGGTGTTTTCGCATAAATTACATAAATCGATGGTTCAGTAGATATATACAGGCAACCATTTGTAACTGCAGCTTCATCTTTGTGGTTACAGATCAGGTTTCAAGTATCTTTTGGCTGTTACATTCAGATCTTCATGAAGACAGGGTCACTGCTGCTTTCGAGTACCTCTCCACCATGGTGGCCAGTGTAGAACCGTTAAATCAGTTTGGAAATGGACAGAGGAGTAATATGAATACCTTTCCTTTGCTTGAACAAAGTTTTGCTAAAGGGAAGTTTCATGTCCGATTCAAGCGTAGAAATGGACGAGTTCGAGTGGCGGTGATCTCTCACTTCCTTTCTCTATCTCTGGTTCCCTATTTGTGTGTGTGCATATTGTGTCGTGTTTATTTAAGACACACACACACACTCACATAATTATTTACTAAGTTAGCTGATCTGATCTAATGTCCTTGTAATATTGAATTCAGTGTGAAGAGGTTCGTGTAGAGCAGTCAGATGTTAACTTTACATCCGTTTCATCTGACAATGGAATGATAAATGAAGGCCTTATTCCGAAGGTTAGTTGTTCTTATCTTAACGGGAGTCTTTTTCCCCACTCTGTTCATCTCTCTTGTAGACGGTAGTTTCTAAATTGGAACTAGAAGTCCTTATTTGACTGATTACTTTCATGTTAACATTATAGGGCATCATTATGAGTTATCTGGAATCTGGGTAGAATGAGATGTAATACTTTGTTATAAATTCAGCTAATTTTTATGCAGGCAATGAGTTGCACTAGTACATAAATAGAACTAAACTTGCACGCACAAAGAAATGCACTTGCTGATTTACATTCATTGGCTCAGGCATTAGAAGTTTAGATGTAAAATAATTACATTTTTCTATAACTTTTGCTTTTCTCATTGTACATAATAAAGAAGAAGAGATGCTCTTTTCTACAGGTCCAGTTTAATCTTCAGCTCTCAGAGAAGGAGCGAATTGACAGGGCTAATGTTGTCCTTCCATTCGAACATCAAGGTAAACCAAGAAAGGCATTTTTTACCATTGCTTTGTTTTGGTTCTGTCTGTTGAATAAGCTCTTGGGTTTTTTTTTTTTCTTCCCCCTTATGTTGAAGATTGGAAATTAGTTTAGTTTCTCTCTGTACCTGGTCTTTATTATGCTCATGTTTTATTTTTTATTATTATTATTAGTATTATTTTTTTGAACTTGTAGGGAATGGTAAACCTATACAAATCTATGATGGTCGAAGATCTCTTATGGATACAAAAAATGAGATAACATCTGTTTCAACCGGGAAATCAGAAACGAATGATTCTAGCAAAGGCGAGATAATATATTTCCGTGATTCAGAAGATGAGATGCCTGATTCTGATGAGGACCCAGATTATGATTTGGATATATAATTTTGTTTGCATTCTCACTAGTCACTGGCAATTGTTAATCTCTTTATTACCTTTATTTTTGAAATTGCTAGTGACAGTTGTTTGAGTTCACCATCTAAATGAATTATCCCACTGTAAACTATGTGATATAGAAGGTATATAAAACATCATCTAGGATGTTTAAAGTTACTATGAATTACTGGTGGCAGTAGTTGCTCTTTACTATGAATTGCCTTGGAAATTATTTCTTGCTGTTATCCATCCTAGGGCAGATGTTAGCAAAGCTATGGACCGATTAATGGAGATTGGCGAAAGCTTGGAATTGATTGCAGGGCTAGATGGTACATCAATTGCTTGTTGAAGTTGATTTCTATAATAATACAGAAGTTGATTGAAGCCTCAGTTGTATCTTTTCCTTGTATCGGATACGGCGCAAGGAATTATATTTCATGGTGGACACCTGCCGACATATTTTGAGATGAAGGCTGGAAGTTGGATCTTTATTTCCGGTACACTATTTTTCTTTGAGCTTCATTCGGGTTTACTGATGGAACTGGTTATTCGTGGTGCCGTGTTTCCTATAGTAGTAGTTATATGTATGAATTGGTGTTTGTAATGCCTTTTCATATTTTGAATTATATATATCCATTTAAAAAAAAATCATTCAAGTCAATCCTCCCTTCAAGGTTTTAAATTGCACAATCAGGTACTTGGGAGTTTTGCCTTGACGAGGTGAGACGTAAGACTCAAAATAAAATTATAAAAATAATTCGAGCAGTTGAAAAGAAAACTTATAAATCGTAACGTAGAAATCATAGAAAGTCACATCACCACTTAACAAAAAGCAACCTAGTATAAAATAATTCTAGCCAAAAAAAAAAAAAAAAGTTAGTGTAAAATGAACTAGTTTCATACGTGAGACTAGACCAGAAAATTAAAAAAAAAAAAAAAATCAGAATACCAATAGTTAATTTAAGGTCCTGCGCCCCATAGCAATGATTGAACACTGGTCGATTAAAAATACAACTCCTTATAATCTTTAGAAATATTATTAGGAAAAATGAGACAAATATTTAAGAGAGTATAGGTCTCGGCTTTTATCTTTTATTATTAATTAATATCCTTTTTAAACAACTAATTAGTCAAAAAGGTGTTTATTAATAGTAAATGACAATTTTCTCAGCTTATTATCTTTGAAAGACTATCGCGCCTAGCATTTAAAAACATTACATACTTAGTAATCTGGTGGTATCTATTTGGTATAGTAGTAGTTTTTTTTATGAGTAACATACTTCAGTAGTTTTTCTGGTAGTATCGTTTTTTTTTTTTTTGGTATCTCCCTTTTGTAGAAGTTTGCTATAATAGTGGTTTACTTATGGTAAACTAGAATATTTTGCTCTCTCGTCTCTCATGAAAGCAACTGACCGCCGACGACGCAAGCTCAGCGATACAAAAGCTCAACTTTGTGTAAACATCGAGTGCATCAGTCGGCCTTGCTCGCCCAAGGCCATGGATTAGTTGTTTAGATTGAGCACTAATCGGTACCGGATTTTAGTTTGACACATTTTTTTTTAAATGTATAATTAATTAATTTCAAAGTAATTGTAATCAAACCTACAATATAGAAAAGTGCTTTATCGTTTTCTCCGTCGGAGAATAAAATATTTGTTGGAGTTCGAGTGGAAGGCACTTTGCCTCTGGTTCAAAAACGCAAAATGCGTATCAATAAATTATGATATCGCATTATTACGAAAAATACATTTAAAAGAAGAAAAATTAGCAGGGGAAAACTATATAGTAAATTATTCATAGGATACACGTGAAAAAAAATACTTGAGAGGACTGCGGGAATAAAATGTTTAGATATGAATGCTTTTGAGAAGAAATAATATCAGTGCGACAGTTAAAGAAACATATTTACTGGGGGAAAAAATAATATTTAAAAGAAATAATATTTAGGACCTTATGTAGATATTCGAGAACATTTATTTTAGTATTATTTTCACAAATGCAGAAGTATGTACTCTTTCTTAAAGTAGTCCTTAATTTTTCAAAATCGTTCAAAATACTTTATAGAAAATCGTTTAAAATGCTCTCCATCTATTTTTGTCTATATGTCGAACGAATTTGCATACGTGGTATGCTATTAGGGGCATATTAAAAAACATCTAGAGATACGTTAAAAATTAGCTAATAAGTCGGGGATTTATGAAATGAATCCTTAAAATGTAAAAAATAATTATTAAAAAATTAATGTGGTTGTTACATATTTTTCAACTATAATTATTAAAAATTCAATTATAAACTCTCATTACATTAAAATTAAGTTGTTTCCTTGAAGTATGTATCCTTTTTCAAAGTGGTCATTGATTTTTCAAACTATTCAAAACACTGTTTGATGTATAGAAAACCGTTCAAAATGCTCTCTCCATCCATTTCTATCTATATGTCAAATGAATTTGCATATGTGGTATGCTATTGGGGGCATATTGAAAAACATCATGGGATACATTAAAAATTAGCTAATAAGTCGGGAATTTAGAAAATGAATCCTTAAAATGTAAAAAATAATTATTGAAAAAAATTAATGTGGTTATTACATATTTCTCAACTATAATTAATAAAAATTCATCTATAAACTCTCATTACATTAAAGTTAAGATGTTTCCGATGAGAAATTATACATTGAAAATAACTTTAATTTAAATAAAATATTTGTAAAATTATTTATTCTAAAACTTAATTATTATGAAATTCAAATTGTAAGGACTCCATCACAACTGAATCTTAGAAGCAACCCAAATAATCTCAACCCAATAAGAGGATGACAACAATGATTATCCACTCCATGGCGACAAACAACACCTTAAATGCAAAAAATTATTTTAATAAAAGTAAAACGAGAAAAAAAAAATCAAAATACATTGTGAAAAGATTGAACTATAGAGTAGCATTTGGAAAAAAATAAAAAATAAAAATAACCCCATGGCGATAAACAACGTCTTGAATGTAGTTTTTAGTAAAAGAATTGTTTTAATAAAAAAAAAAAAAAAAAAAAAGCAAACCGAGATAAAAATCAAAATACATTGTGAAACGATTAAACTGTAGAATAGCATTTAGAAAAAAGGGAATAAAAAGTAAACATTAAACAAAAAAAAAAAGAAAAAGAAATTAAGTATTAGAAAAAGTAAATAAACTAAAAAGATAAAAAAAGATGAGGCTGACATGTGGCGAAAATAGCACTCTTAAAATCCTCTTTTGACTTTTTTAATATGTGTAGATAGATACAGATATGTAGTTGACATTGACACGTTTTTTTTAGGTTACATTGTAAATTTAATATAACTTTCAAACTGTCATAAGAAAGAAGATTTGGTATTTTATATGAATTTAACTCAATTTTAACATGGGCATGACTTTGTCAACGCATACTTTTCTTTCAATACTAATTGGTTATTTGAATTTTTCTTAACATATTAATTATAGACTGCCAGTTTTCCACGGCAATTTAAGTTTTGGGTTCTTGTTCCAATCACTGAAGTTGAAAAAAAATATATACTCGTTTTTGAAAAATCTAACCTTCTTTTAAAACTACAAGAATAATCCATCAACATCAAAATCAGCATACAGGAAAATGGAGATCAATTGTAGAAATAGTCAAAATACATCCAGCAGTTTAAACACTTTCCGACCTCCACAAGAATAAAACACATCAATACAAATGTTAATATACAAGCAATATAATCTAAAAAATGTAACCCTGAATGAAAAGGGTTAAAAAAATAATGAAGGCATGACCTTCTAAGTATCAATTAAATCAGACTACAAAAATTGAAAATAAAGACAATGTCAAGTGCTTGTAGTCTCTGCAATAAGAAACAGAATATGAACTGAAGCTTCCAAAAACCCCTAAAAATAGATGAGAACAACAGAGAAATTTAGAATTTTTGGTACCAAGGCTGTAACTTTGGAGCACAATTAAACAATCCAGTAGTCTAGATACAAGAACTAAGCCAGTTAAGCAAGATATTCTTCTATCCTAAAAAGCAACATGCCAGAGGACTAAACCTCCAAATTCTAGGAAAATTACATTGCATAGTTTGCTTCCGGTTTTCTAATTTGTATTGTGCAGATGAGTCTCTTAGTTGGAGCAACATTCTAAATCAGATATCCTTTCACACACACACACATATATATATACACACAATTTCTTTGGGACTCAAGATCAGCCAATAGCTTCTTGTAAAAGTTTTGATCGTTTTTCAACATATTGTACATGTTAAAATTTCATTTTCAGCCATGGAAAACATCTATTATTAACAACCAAAAGAGCCAAGTGCTCTTTCTCCCAAGTATGCCACGTGGCAGTCCCTCCCCCTTCCTCTTTTTCACATTTTTATCTTCTTTTTTTTTTATTTTTTAAGTGTTTTGTTTTGTTTTTTGTTTTTTAATTTTGTAAATGATTTTTTGCAGTTTAACTTCTCGTGTTTTGACACGGGACTAAACTTACAAAGTTGTTCTCCATGTGTATAGCCAGTGGCTCAACTAGTTATTTCAAAGAATGATATACTAAAAGTAAAAGAGCAAATCACAGATGGACTCTCGAGTATAAATTCAGGGTATCTACAGCGTAACTAACACAGCTTTAACAAAAAGCATGATCATTTCAGAATCAAGTAGAATGTTATGAATAAATAAATAATAAAGTAACATTGTCCTTTTTTTTTTTTTTTTGACAAATACACAAGTACCACAAAAGGAGTTTCACATTCTTAAAGATGAAACAGTGCCTATAAATGCAATAAGATTTGGTCTCATCAGAAATAGATAGATTAAAACAATTGCAGACAGTACAGAGAAGTGGGCTTACCTCATGATAAGATGACAAGTCCAAGATACATAGATCCACAAAGAAAGATGAATGATATCATTCCCCTGCAAGAGTAGTTTGCTAAAATAATTAAGAAAACCTTCAAGAAGACAGATTAAAACACATAGCATTTTGTATATTCAAAACGAACATGCTGCTTTATAGTTTCTATGCATGAAATTTTCCTAACAAAAACTTGTGTCTTGTGTCAATGCTGAAACCTCACCAGATGACTCCCCATGCTGTTCCATTACAAGGGCAGGGGCAAACTTCGGCAAACTTCTCAGCGTCACTGGAGTTGACTCTTCGAGATATTAAATCATCATAGATATCTGCGGTTTGTAATTTAAAATCATAACTGCATGACTGTAATGAAAAAAGTTGAGATGAGACAGAAGAGTCATTGCAATTTGCACATACCATATACTGAAAACAAACTGTTCATCACACCTGCAATTCACCAAACCAAATATAAAGCAATTTTCACTCCCGTCCATCCAAGATATGCATATTTTGATCCAGAATGAGGAAGAACTTTTTCCCCAGAAATGATACGATGGGATAGAAATGTACCAATAAAGAGAATGACGTAGCGAAGAATGCGGACGGTTGTTTTTTCTTGCAAAACCCAAATGATAGCAATGAAAATAATGAATCCTGAGAGATTCAATAAGTAAACATGAAAAATTAGCAAGAAAGCACGTCGACATATAAAACTAAAACATTTTAACAACTTCAGAAAGATACTTACCAATACAGAGTCCTCGAAGCGTCCACTGTTGAAAAGAGAGTATGTCACGAATAAGATAGAAAAAGTATAAAAGTATAAGATATATTTGTGGAGACAACAACCAGTAATATGTACACATTTGGCAATACTGTAACACAACCAACAGCATTACTAGTTATCACATTAAATAACAATCTTACATTTTTTGCAATAAAGAGCACAATGAGAAGTGCAATAACAAAACACCCAGCAGCGATTCTCGCAGTTATGAGGTTTGTTGATGCAAGTATCAAAGCCATTCCCCAGAATGATGAACCAAGATCTAGGTTTCAAGAGAAGTCGCACAAAAGATAAACACCTGAAAATAGGAGTTTCAGAAATAAACTATAAAGGGAGAAAAGTGTATTTACATCCTGCAGGCAAGATCAACCAATATACGCCACCGCGTGTTTGCGTGACTCCACCCTCATTTGCATGAACCTGAATTCCCTCTACCTACAAACCAAATTAGGTTATAAGATATACAACCGAGTCCAACAATCAGGTACATGAAGGTGAAACGGTATGACAGCTTCAGAATTTTAAATGTACATTGACTTTGAAAGCCAAAACCACCAACATTTACCCTAGAAGTGTGAGGTTATCTTTTCATATCAGTTAATTCAATGAAAAACAGAAAAATGAACTCCATAATCATAGGAAGAGCACAAAAATTTAACTGATAAATTCTTGGTTGTTGACTGTTTGAAAAAAGCACTATTTCCTGAATCAAAAACTCAGAAAACGATAGAAGTTGACAGAGTTCAAGAGCTCTGCCCCTCTCCCAGCTTTCAGCTCAGCCGAGACCCAATTAAACTAAAGCCTGCCCTTATTCCTCCTGTTTGTGATCTGTATACCCCCTTGAGTTTTACTAACTACTCTTCTAAGTCCGAACTGAAAGCACACTTGCAAGTTGCAACTACTAATAGCACAGAACAGATCAGCCTAACAAACTACCAAGTACTAACTAACTACTTTAACAAGCCAATCAACCAACTACCCGAAGCCTATCAATCATTCGTGTGTTTTTGTAGACAGTTAGAAGAAATATGTTATCATTGAAGCACAAAATGATGGAAAAGGGAAAGAGCTTGTCTTCTTACCTGACCACACGTGAGTTTGCAAGCAATTGCATGACTTGCTTCATGCAGGAACACTGTGATGAGTTTAAAGGGTGTGAGTAGCACTGTCCTCCACAGCTTTAAAAATCAGAAACAAACTTTACATCAAAAGGACAAATTGGATCCATAAAACAAAAGGATAGCAAAATTATCAGCGAGACTCATACAAGTATCTAACTTGGTACCCATAATGAATATAAATCATTTGGTGTTTTTTTTTTTTAGTTTTTTGGCTCAATATTATGATGAAGTTAATCTCATCCTAATCCAATGTACTTTTGAAGCCATTTCATTCTCATTTTTGTACATCTTTTGAATTAGATCAATGTTTATCATGTTAAGTTTTGGAACCTAATTATTGTCCAACGATCGTTGCCTTTTGCAGAGACAACACCCAAACTGACTTTGTAAATATGGTTGCACTAGATTCTCTTATGCAAAGGGGGCACCAATTTTAGGGTAAATTAGAGAGGTTAGAGAAAAAACACAACAAATATGAGAGGTATGCAATGTTCTCTCGTAATCTTCTCCTTCATCATAGTGAATTATGGCAACAGCTGTAAAATGGACGTAACTCTCACGTTGAGGGTGAATCACTATAAATCTTATGTGTTATTGTTTGTTTGATTTTTTTTTTCTGCGATTTTATTGCTTTAGTTAATATAGAATTGGGACGTGTAATTTTTGACGCATCATTAATCCCTTAAGTAGAGGATTGCCTCATTTGTGCCTTGTTACAAACTGTATCCCTCAAGCTTAGTTGTAAAACAGTCATTAATCACAAAACATGTCTAGTATGAGTTACCTTACTAGTTTCTAACGAACAAATTCTCCTATCAGAACTAAAAATTCCTTTTGACCACAAAAAAAGAAAAAGAAAAAAAAAAAACAAAAACAAAAATAAAGCAGCTTGTGTCAGCATTGTTTTCTCAATAGCCAATTTGTATAAAAGGATGTTTACATAATTACAATGCTGAAATTTTTTAGTAGTAAAGTACTAATTGTGATAGAAAAGGAAGTTCTATAGATGTAACTCTATTCCCAAGTCTTTTTCTTTTTTCTATTTCTTGTTTACGTTGAAATCCCTCTTCCTAAGTCTAACTCTAACAAAGATAATTAGCACGAATTCAACACAGTCTTCGGTACCCAAAAGAAAAAAAAAAAAAAGAGTTCAAGAAGAAACCGATCCTCGAATACAAATCACACAAAACATGGAGAAACAAAATGAATGTCCTGTGAGAATATTACTAATAAAAATATAGGAGCAATTTATATCCTGGGCAAGTTCCTAGTTTAAGCCCAACCCAGTAATTTGGCATAGTTGACCAAAAAAAAAAAAAAAAAAAAAAAAGCAAAACAGAAGACTCCAAAATTTTTATAATTTTGTCTTCTGCGCAATCAAAAGGTCCAAAGAAACAAAGGAGACGTACCAGGAGGATTACAACGGTGAAGACTCCAATTGTCGCCAAGAAAACGACCTGGTCGTGCTGGCAACAGTTCTTCAGCTCCCAGTTCGGCATTCTCTTAGTTTAACGCAGCCAATCCTGCAATTTCTGAGATACCCAGAAATCACAAGAAAGAAAAAGGTCGGATTTGAAGTTCAAATTACTAGGATGCGAAGAAAGTGCAAGAGAGACGGAATATACTCAAAAAGGTAGTTGTGGTTGGTCTTCTTCTGTTTTCTAGTTTATTTTCACGATTTTGTTAATCGTTACGTGCATATTTGAAAAGCCCAATATACGCAATTGCTAGGAAACTGTCAAAGTAGTGAATTAGAGAAAATCCAAAAAGTATGCTTTATCTAAATACAACTTTTATTTTTGGGCATTTTCAAATTTAAAAAATTTCCCATGTTTTCCTTAGAGGCTTTTTTTTTTTTTTACAGATACCCCTGAATTTTTTAAATTTGATCATTTAATTTTTATTCTTTTTTTAACAGCTGACCCCTTTAATTTTTAAATCTTTGTAATTAAGCCTAATCGAAAATGATGCATGTTTTTTTAACGATTCTGATCATATGACGCGCATGTGAGCATTTATAAAGAGTAATAAAAGTCATTTTTCATCTTATTTGTTCGATTCAGGGTCATCTAATGTGTCTGAAATACAATCAGTTGTGATAAACAACTCTCAGTTTCTAAAGGTTACTACCCTCAATAGACTTTCTAAGAGTGAGAAATAACCTTTATTACCTTAAGAGATGCTCACATGCGTTTCATGTGATTAGAATCATCAAAAAAAAAAAAAAAACAAATGTTATTTTCGAATGGACCTTAATTGTAAAAAAGTTTTGAGTTAGAGGAGTCAACTGCTAAGAAAAAAGAATAAGAAAGAAATCGTCAAATTCTAAAAGTTCAGGAGATATCCATATAAAAAAGCCTTATGTTTACCTAAATGCAATTTTTATTTTTGGATTTTTTGACATCTAAAAGATATCCACCGTGTTTTTCAAATTAAACAAAAGATATCTTTCTTTTAACGTTTCTAATTTAATTTTTCTAAATGACCAAATTGTCATTAGATATCTCATATAGTACTATCTCATTTTGTGTTAGTTTATTATGCAAAGAAAAAACTTGTTCAACTTGACGTAAATTTTCTTTACATTACTGAAAATCTAATCTAGGAGAATCACTTAAAAAAATTAAGACGCGTGTTTGGAAGTTGATGGGGTTGTTCTTTTGCAACAAAACTCAGAAAAAATTTAAACTCGAGTTATAACTTTATTCAAATTCATGTTCTTTTGTAAAATTTGAGTTTGAACTCGAGTTTGGAGCTAAACTCGAGTTCAAGTTTCCCCTTCAACTCGAGTTCATAAATTCGAACTCAAGTTAATAAACAATATTTTTTCTATTCTTAAAAATGTCATAACTTTTTCGTTTTAATTTTGATTGAGATGATTTTTTTCTATGCATTTACAACGAAAAGACGAATAAAACCCTACCCATATACCCTATTAAAATTTGTCATCACTATTGAGTTTTTATTAAAATACTATCTAAATACAAATTTAAATTTTGACACACCTAAACACAAACTCAAAAAGATTCTCAATTCATATCATAACTCAAATGTGCACATCCAAATTATAACTTAAACTCAACTCAAAATCATCACTCAAATCACCCTAACTCAAAAATGTAAAAGAACAACCCCAATATAGCTCAGGGTAAAATTGAATAGTTTATAAGATATTTTATTATAATTTGGACATTTTAAAAAATTAACCAAAAAAGTTAAAAGATGATATACTTTTCATTTGGTTTAAAAACGTACGGGATACATTTTAGATTTTTTTTTAAAAAAATTTAAGAGTAAAAGTTGTATTTAAGTTTAACTGAATGGATATTTTTTAGATTTACTAAGGTAAAATGATGCAATCTTTTCCAAAAAGCCCCGTCACTTTCTTCTTCTTCTTCTTCTTGTTTTTTTTTTTTTTTTTGAAGTTCTCATATCTGTCTTTTACTCTTTTTTCAAATCTGGAACGCTGTTTGAAATTTCTTATTTTCATGTGAGAGACTCCTTTTTCTTTTTTGGAGTACTAATTTTATATCATGCTTCACACGTGTTGCTGTATTAGAGGTACTTAAAGAGCTTATTGTTTATTAAATAATAATAAATTCATTTATACAATCATTTAAGATTTTTGTATTTATTTTAAAAAGAAATACGTATAAATATAGCAATTGACAAAAAAATTAAGTAGAGACACATTTGAATAGAATTATTTGAACTAACTAAAAAAATATGAACAGATGCAAAAAAGTTACCCTCATGAGAGTAAAGTGAGAAACAATATATTTTTAAAAAAAAAATACACACAAAATTAAATGTAAAAAAATTCACAAGAAGGAAAAAGAAAAAAAAAGAAGTGAATGGAGGGACTGTCACGTAGAAAAGAGCCCAGTATTGTTTTAGATGTATAGATAAAATTAAAAAAAAAAAGGCAAAGTATAGATAAAAGTAAAAAAAAAAAAAAAAGGCAATAGGCAAAAAAAAAGAGAAGAAAAATGAAAAAATAAAGGTCAGAAAATGGAACAAGAAAAAAAAAGAGAGAAGTAAAAAATTAAAAAATAAAAAAAGAAAGAAAGGCATGTAGCCTTCTTAGAAGCTAGTCATTGACTCTTTTAAGTATGTAATAGATAATAGAAATAGATTAACACGTGAGTATGTTTATTGACACCTTTTTTTTAAATTTTTCACACACATAGTCTTAAATCACCCCATATTTTTAATATCCCTTTTGGAATTTCAAAAAGCTCCTACAACTAAAATCATCCTGAATTCTACATTTTACACACATTCTTGAGATCCTGATTGTCTTGTTAATTCAACTACATATTTTGCTATGTTCTTTTTAACATTTCTTCAAACACTCGTATCTAGATAATCTTGTTTCCACACAAGGTAGGAGTCTAAGAGCATGTTTATTTCACAACTTAAGTTAAGAATTTGAGTTGTATGTTTATTTCACAACTTAAATTAAGAATTTGAGTTGTGCATGTACAAAAAAAAAAAATTTATGAAAAAAATACTGTAACAATAAAACTTAACTTGTGACTTACGTTGTAAATAATGACTAAAATTTCCTGCAGAAAGTGAGATAAAAACGTCGTTTGCAATCCATGAATCACTTTTCAATCCATTTCGTTTATGTTCTTTTGCACCAAAATACTATCACATGCTAGTAACAAGTTTTACTTAAAAAGGATAAAGAAAAAGAAAAAGCAGCGACAAGGATCTACAAAGTACAAAGCATCGCACCAAATGCAGATGAAGTTCTCAATAATACTCTTTTTTTTTTTATGGAAAGAATACTCATAATTTTTAGTTATGAGTGTTTTTTCTGTGCTAGTTTTTTAGCTAAAATAATTAATCATTTATTTTTTTTAATTTTTCTCAACTCTAATTATTAGCTAAATAGTTAGTTATTTTAAAGAATACTTTATGTACTTGCTAAATATAGTTAGTCTGGAGAGGCTAGCCATTTTATTCTTTTCAACTGTAACAAATGTAAAATTTTTTTTGTAAATTCAATAAATTATTTATATTTTAAATTTAATAAATATTAAAATAATATATATTTAGCTAAAATATAAAGAATGGTTAAGTGACTCACTAAGAAGTTACTAACTAAAATGACTTTCTAGCCATTTTAATTAAAATTTAGAGAGTTTCCTTAAAAATGTTCTAAGAATTTAAGGCAATATCTGCATTTAGCAACTCTCGTCCCTAATAATATATTTATTAATAAGTAATTTAAAAATAATAAAAAAGAGTGTGTAAAAAATAAAGAAGTGGGTTTCAATAGACACACCCTTAACATATATAGCAAATATAATATCTTGCAGTTGAAATGTCGCTCAAGTTTCACAAAATTTTATATACGGCTAAATTCAATTGTATAATGACGTTGTTGACCTTAGTAAATATATTTGCTTTGCTTTTTCTTTTTAGGGATATGAAGAAAAACGACCGATTTTATAGGCCTAATTAAAAAGTCTGTGTCACAAGTATTCTAAAAAAAAAATTTAAATTAAATGGTTGTTCCTGCTTGCCAAGACTCAAAAAGACAAAAATAGCTTTCTCCCAAAACTAATAACTTAGATCATATTTCGGGGCTGTTCGGCAGCCCTATTTTTGAGTTAAAAACTCAAAAAAAATAACTTGAGTCACAACTTTATTTAAGTTCATGTTCTTTTAAGTTTGGACTCGAGTTTGAACTCGAGTTTGGGACTAAAACTCGAGTTCAAGTTTCTCCTTCAACTTGAGTTCAGAAACTCAAACTCAAATTAATGAACAGTATTTTTTGTATTCTTAAAAATGCTATAACTTTTTCGTTTTAATTCTGATTGAGATGATTTTTTTTCTATGCGTTAACAATGAAAAGACGAATAAAACCACACCCATATACCCTATTAAAATTTTCCATCAGCATTGAGTTTTTATTAAAATACTATTTAAATACAAATTCAAGTTTTGACTCACTCAAACACAAACTCAAAAAGATTCTTATCTCAAACCATAACTCAAATGTACACAACCAAATACAAACTCAAGTTACAACTTCAACTCAAGTTTAAAACTCAAACTCAATTCAAAATCTACACTCAAGTCACCTAATTCAAAAACGGTAAAAGAACAGCCCCTTCAAATCCTCTCTTCCACCCCATGGCAGTCACCAGAAAACCTAGGCCTTGGCACACTTCTTGTCTCCCATTTTATTGTCTCCCCCTCTCCCCAGTTGTTACACTTGAAATTTTACTTAAAGATAAGTATATGAGCTGACATTTAAAGTAACGATTTATTATGTTAAGTTATGTTATTAGTAATGATTTATCTAGCGGTGTTACATGTGACAATGGTGTGAATCTCGATGTGTTCAAGAAGGTTCATGTAATTAATGATAAGTTTACGTTGAATTATAAATTTTGTGCTATAACTTGTGATTTCGTATGTTGATTATTTGATATATGGTGTTTCTACTGCGTATATGTATGATATGGTATGGTTTTATTTGATTTATAAAGGTTCATGTGTGAATGTTAAGGTCATTTAGAAGATAATGATGCCACGTTACATTTTGTGATGAAATTAATATCAAATTTTAGAGTTAATTATAAAAATTCTCCTCAATTATGATCCATGTAACACTCTGTCTCTCAATCTTCAAAATGTAACGTCCATTCCCTGAACTATGAAAT